TTGATGAATTTATCTGTTTTTGTTTACACCCGTGTACCCGATCACAATAATCATGTAAGAGACGAAGACGAATGTTAAATTGTTAGGTGTTAACGCTTGTGTTACCAGCAAGGGGGCATGTCAGAACCTAATTTGAATGAGGTGCTGGATAACACAGTGTTAAGCACAAACATGTACAGGCAAGTTAGTGGAAAATCCCCAGAGGGCTAGTGAGCATGCCCAGCACATGCTTAACCCCACACTTGTCCATCATAAATTTGAAATGAGGTAATCTGAATTGGCACCATGCGCATGCCTAGACATGCACCAGAATTAACTAGAAACTTCCATAGGGGAAGCTGTGCGATTGGCCACTCAAAAACATATTTAAGGCTAGTAAGTTTCTGCCCACAGCGGAGACCAGACCAGACCTGAGTGGAGACTGCCGCAGCAGAGACCGCCTCAGGAGCCTCTTAGAACCCTGGTTTGCTTAGGCCCAGGGCCCCGCTGGTCTCCCCGCCACCATCATATCCCGGCGTTCCCCTTCCTAGAAAGCGTTCTTCTCATCTCGACCATTTGTTATCGATCATCGTTTACTCGTTCATGTTCCGGTTATCTTCGACTCGTTCCTGCCACCCATTCTCGATCATTCGTTCGTTTCCAGCCTCGTTTTCTTGTTCTACGTTTCTGATCAACTCGTTATTCGACTTGTTCCCGTTCAGTGACTTCATTCCTGTTATCGACTTGGCACTGTTTCTTGTTCACCGTCATCGTATTATCGTATTACTGTAACCAAGTTTGACCAGCCTATGCTACACCACCATCAGTGGCGTAAGTAAGCAATAAAGGCACTCTGTTTTGAAACTGCACACGTCCCGCCCGCTCTGACTCCTCGCCACTAATCCCACCTGGTCGATCCGTTCTCGGCCCCACCGTGACACCGGGGCTCTCGGCTCCGACAGATGGAGATTCTACAACCTCTCTGGGTAACCTATTCCAGTGTTTTCCCACCCTCCTAGTGAAAATGTTTTTCCCAATATCCAACCTAAACTTCCCTTGCTGCAACTTGAGACCATTGCTCCTTGTTCTGTCATCTGCCATCACTGAGAACACTCTAGGAGAACAGTTTAGCTCCAGCCTCTTTCAAACCCCCCTCCAGGTAGTTGAAGGCTACTATTAAGTTGCCTCTCTTCTCTAGACTAAATAAGCCCAGTTCCCTCAGCCTCTCATCAGAAGACATGGCCACCAGCCCCCTAACCATTTTCACTGCCCTCTGCTGGACTTTCTCCAATTTGTCCACATCCTTTTTGTAGTGTATGGGGGGGGGCGGGAACCGGACACCGTACTTCACATGTGGCCTCACTAGTGCTGAAGAGAGGGGAATAACTTCCCTTGATCATCTGGCAACACTCCTACCAATGCAGCCCAGTATGCCATTAGCCTTCTTAGCAACAAGGGCAGACTACTAGCTTATAGTCACCTTATTGCCCACTGTAACCCCAAGGTCCTTTTCTGCAGAGCTGCTGCTTAACCAGCCAGTACCAGTGCATCGGACTGTTCTATCTTAAGTGCAGGACTTTGTACTTGTCCTTACTGAACTGCATGAGATTCCTTTTGGTCCAGTCTTCCAATTAGTCTAGGTCTCTGAATCCTAATTCCACCCTCCAGTGTACTTACTACTTCCTCCAGCTTGGTGTCATCTGCAAACCTCCCGAGGGTGCACTCCATCCCATCTTCCAGGTCACTGATGAAGCTATGGAACAAAACTGGCCCCAGGACTGACCCTTGGGGCACTCCACTTGATACTGGATGCCAACTAGACATCAAGCTATTGACTAATGCCCTCTGAGCCCAATGATCCAGCCAGTTTTTGATCCACCTTACAGCCCATTCATCCAACCTGTACTTCCTTAGCCTGCCTGTAAGAATGCTGTGGGAGACCACATCAAAAGCCTTGCTAAAGTCAAGGTACACCACATCCATTGGTCCGCCACATCCACAGAGCCAGTTTATAGAAGGCAATCAGGTTGGTCAGGCATGACTTGCCCTTGGTGAATCCATCCTGACTGTTCCTAATTACCTGCTTCTCCTCCAAGAGCTTAGAAATTGGTTCCTTGAGGACCTGCTCCATGATTTTTCCAGGGACCAAGGTGAAGCTGACCAGCATATAGTTCCCAAGATCCTTGTTCTTCCCTTTCTTAAATATAGGCACTATATATTTGCCCTTATCCAATCATCATATTTGCCCTTTTCCAATCACCATGAGTTTTCAAAGGTGATGGCCACTGGCTGTGCAATCACATCAGCCAAGTCCCTCAGAACCACTGGGTACATCCCATCCAGCCCCATGGACTCATATGCCGAGCTTCTCTAAATAGTCCCTAACCTGCTCTTTTGCCACAGTTAGCTGCTCATCTCCTCCCTGAACTGTTCTGTGCAGTAGTTTGGCTGCTGACCTTGCCAGTAAAGACTGAAGTGAAAAAGGCATTAAGTACTTCAGCCTTTTCTGCATCCTCTGTCACCAGGTTGCCTTTGCCATTCAGTAAGGAACTCAACACTTTCCCTGATCCTCCTCTTGTTACTGACATACTGGTAGAAACCCTTCTAGTTACCCTTCCTAGTGGCAATTCCATCTGTGCTTTGGCCTTCCCGACTTCATCCATGCATGCCCAAGCAATATTCTTATGCTCCTCCCTAGTTGTTTGTCCACGTTTCCACTTCTTATAGGCTTCCTTTTTGTGATTTAGCTCACTGAAGAGGTACCTGCTAGGCTAAGTTGGTCTTCTGCCATACTTGCTAGTCTTCCTGCACATTGGGATGATTTGTTCCTGCACTCCCAGTAAGGCTTTTTTGAAGTACAGCCAGGTTTCCTGGACTCCTCTCCCCGGCTTCCCAGAGGATCCTGCCCATGAGTTCCCTGAGCGAGTCAAAGTCTGTGTTTTCTGAAGTCCAGGGTCCTTACTCTGCTGCTTTCCTTACTTCCTTTTGTCAGGATCCTGAACTCTATCATCTCATGGTCACTGCTGCCCCTGTTGCCATCCACTATTACATTCCCCACCAATTCTTCTGTTTGTGAGCAGCAGGTCAAGAAGAGCACGGCCCTTAGTTGGCTGCTCCAGCACTTGCACCAGGAAGCTGTATCCAAAAGCTTCATACCGGAGCCCTGAGCAATCTTTTACATAAAGTGCAACTCCTCCTCTTCTCCCCTGTCTATCCTTCCTGAACAGTTCACACCCATCCATGACAGTGCTGCAATCATGCGTGCTATTCCGCCAAGTCTCTATTATTTCAATCACATCATAGTTCCACGACCGTGCAAGGACTTCCAATTTTTCCTGCTTGTTTCCCGGGCTCTGCGCATTCGTCTACAGGCACCTAACGAAACTAGCTGATTGACTGCCCTACTTTCTCAGGAAGAATGAGAACACCTCCCCTGTTGCCCACTCCTGCTTGCACTTCCTCCAGGTCACCCACTTACCTAAGGCTTTTATCTCCATCCCTGGCAAATCTAGTTTAAAGCTCTCCTCACTAGGTTAGTAAGCCTGTCCACAAAGATGTACTTCCCATTTGTCAGGTGGATCCTGTCTCTTCCGAGCAAATGGGATCCACCTGATGAAAAGAGGATGCTTGTCTGGGGAGGGTGTGTGTGTGTGGGGGGGGTTATGATGTATTTTGGGCTGGCTGTAGCCCACTGCATAATCCCCTCATCCAGCGCCACCCCCACTTGCCCTGGTCTGAGCACAGCCCCCGCTACTGGGAAGAGGTTAGTGCAGTCCTGACCCCGAGCATGTAGCAGGCAGCCTGCCATCACCCCACACACAGATCCAGGGGGCACATTCCCCCTATGCCTCCCCCGGGAGTGCGTGCAGCAGCTGGAGTCCTCCCTCCCCTGTACAAGCTGCCCATGGCTCCATCCTACAGCCCATCCTGCTCCAGCTGTGCAGCACCTGCCCGTGCCCCACTCCCTACCTCACCGTGGGGGCCTCAATCTGCAGCCCCCCCACGGCCCTTCCCTCCAACAGACTTACCAGCCAGACAGTGGTCTCCAAGCTGCCGGGCTGCACATCAGCAATCGGATCAGTGTCAGCCAATATGGCTGGGCAATAATTGGGCATCGGTATCAACCCAAAAAATCTTTATTGGTGTATCCCTAGTCTGGGTATGACTCTCTCCCAGCACGACTAGATAGTGTCTAGTCTGGAGTAAGAATGGGCAACTGGTGCTGCCCTAGTAAGGGGGGGCACATGCTCCCCCTGCAACCAGTCAGCGTGCACACATGCAGCATTTAAATCAGCCACATTAGGTCTGTGTACCCACTAGGACATTTTTAAGTATCCCCGGCTGACAACCACTGACAGAAGTATTAAACCTAAACCGTATGCTCAAAATAAAAAACAAACCAAAAAAAGAAAACAAAGGCTTTGGCAAATAACATTTGTTAGGAAAATATAAGTCAAAAAGAGAGGAAGCCCAGGTTTCTGTTTTGCAAACTACCACAGGTGGAAGGAGCAGAAGTGGCTAGAGAATTGCACCTTCTTTTACAGCTTGGAGTCTGGAATATTCAGAATTGCAAAAGGTACTGCTTCCAGAATTTCCACCTACTCAACTGCAGTATCAGGCCATCTTTTAGTAGTGGAAATCCATAAAACCTCACTAAAAAAAGCCAAAAACCTTTCTTTAAAAGGACACTAACAAAGTACTTTCAGAATAGAAACTTTAGTCTTACACCATATTTGTTCAGGTAAGGGAAAAAAGGCAGAAATGGTGACTATTCTTCTTGAGGCAACAGAGGTATTCAATACTGAGGCATGGGTAGCACATTCAGTAATTCTTGGCTCTGGTTCAGAGCATCAGATCATGTCTCAGAACATGCTGGGCATATTTGAAGTGTACTGCCAAGATATCGGAGCTTATTTAGAAATCCTCTAGTGAACTCATTTCTGTCAGCAAAGGCATGGTTTAAAAAGCCTCAACAAAATGGTCTGACAAGTAGAGAGGCTGAACAAACAATGTATTCTTACCCTCCGGTCTATTGGTGCCAATCCTGTATATCCTTCCAATTTTCTTTTTTCAGCATTGTTACTGGGGTTATCACAATCATATTCTACTTCTGGCTTGGACAAGTCCCGACAGAACGTGCAAATCCATTCTCCACTGAACAAAGGGGAAAGAAAACCAGACGTTTCTTTGGACATTTGATAAAAGTTACAGGTCTTGAGTAAAGGGTTTCCAAATACTTTTGGACAGTTTTCCTGCTTTATTTCTCTTGTATCAATTTTCTTGCAACCACAAGAAAGCCAGGATAGAAACAGGACACCTCTTTGGAAGAGGTGCTCACTCATCTCTGAAATTAGTTTTTGGAATAATTTAACAACAAAAGTAGTATCTACTTCCCTCTGAGCTGAAGACATTAAACATGGTTGCACAATTTAAACCAAAACTTTAATGGTGGGCCCATTTCCTGGTTAGAAGATAGACTCTAAAAGAAATGAAGAGATGGGGGAGTGAAGAGCACAAGCAGTGGGCAATATAAATATCGAGCAGCATCAAAACAGAAAAAAAGATGATGTGGTATCTGAAGGAGTCTATTTCCTTATTAGAAACATGACTATCAGGCACTGGCTACTGGCATGCAATATATGGCACCGTAGTCAACCTCTTGGAAGGATGGAATTTCTTCATTCTTAAATCTCAATTCTTTTTCTTGGGAGGAAACCCTACCATTTTAAATGAACGAGCAAAAAAAGTTTCACAACTGAGCCAGTTTTACTCGCTGTCCTTTTCTGCCTAGTTTGTGATATCCTCAAAGTTCTAAGCAAATCTAAGAGATTATCATTCAACTTTAAAACCGACCAACCAAATAGACACTTGCACCTGTGAGGATAACCACAAGAGGGCTAAATTGAACTGGCTTCTTTACAGGAATGAAGAGAATAAAAAAAAAAAAGGAATCAGCTTTAACAGTTTTTGAAAAGAAGGAAAAAAAAAGGTGAACTGACCCCAATAAAAAGAGTGGGGGTAAAAAAAAAAAAAGGAATCAGCTTTAACAGATTATGAAAAGTAGGTATAACAAATGTGCACTGCACCACATATCTGACAATGCAAGAAAGAACTTTGGATATGAGATGTAGCTATTTAGCAAGTGTATGTTTTTGAGTTTAAAGATGTTCAGTAGAACTTCAAGTACCCCAAAATGTATGTGTATCTTATTAGGATACTTAAAACATTTCCACTTTCTGCTTTCCCTACCTTAAGATAACGAACAAACAAACATTTCTAGAGCAAATTTCAGTTTTAACTCATGAGAATTATTAGCTACTTATATGATGATATTACTCACAGTACTTGAATCAAGATGAGGGGAGCAGGGTGCTAGCTGCAGTAACCAAAGATGTTATAAGATACACACACAAGAAAGTGTTTAAATCATGGCAAATCATGGCCAAAAAAAATCTCACCTGAGCCATAAAGATGAAAACAAGAAATTAAAACTTGTTATGATAGAAGGGGAGAAGCTAAAGGAAGATTATGAGAAGGGGAGATGTGTAAGGGAGAAAGTGCACTATTCAAGATATGAAATGGTGGGGGTTTGGATGAGAGCTGTGGGTGTTTGTTCAAAAAGTAAAGGGTGGGTTTTAGAAACATTATACAGGAGGCAGAAGATCCAGAGACTAAGGGAGAGGAAGGAGTCAAAGGATTCTGAGACTATTAGCTTGACTGACTGAAAGAATGGTATATAGTCAACACTGGCAGATAGGGTGTGATGCAGAGAGTTTTAGAGGAAATGATCAGGAATTCAGGTTTTGGTCACATAAAATTTGACTGCAAGATAGTCAGGTGTTATCATCAGAAGATGTCAAAATGAATAGAAGATAAACATAACAGTAGAGAGAGAAACATGCATAACACTGACATAAACAGGAGCCAAAGTTTTGCAAGCACATGAAGTTAACTTGAGAATACAAAGGGAGAAGCAGGGAATGTAAAGTGGAGTGGGTGTCATGGGCTTGAGGTACATGGGATTTCCACAGAGATTTGGAGAGTGGAGGAATGCCACCTGGTAAAAGAAACACTGAATAAATGATCAGGGAAATCTGAAAAGAACCAAGAGAGGATAGAATGGTCAGATCACTATTGTGACCATTATTGTTAAAATACAGACAGACACAGTAGAGTAGAGGTCCTGGTATTTAGCAGACTGATAAGGATCCAGGATGCACCTAAAGAAGAACAATTCAGGACAAAGATTTGCAAGCTGTGAATAGGAAGAGGAAAACGGTCCACAACTGTACAAGCAGGTGGAATCAATGATAAGAAACAGGAACACATTTGTAATTTGAGAAGAACAGGACAGAAGTTGAAGAGGAGGAAGAAGAGTGAAACAGTCTTTATCCCATTCTGGCAATGCTATGGCAGGTGCTGTGTTCAGCAGGTAGAGATCAAGTGAAAAAACAGTATTAGTGACTGCAGTTCGCCGAGTAAGGAGGGCTAAAAAAACATTATGCATTAATTTCCAAGAACGGCCTAAAAGCACTGCAACAGGCTTTTTGGATGAGCAAAAGAAGAGAGCCCCACAATCTGAAGTTCAAAAGGTAAGATGCCATAATAGTAACATACAGAAACTAAGTATGGTATTCAAGAATCATCTTGCTCAGCTATGTGTAAGCAGAGGTGAGAAATGCAAGATGTTGTAAATTAACCTTCTGTGAGGTTCCTAAGGGGTCTTGGACTTGAGGGTTGGGGCAAGCAGTAGCAGGGCATACTGTTAAATTCTGGGAATTAGCAATAGGGAAAGTGATAGCTGTGGTAATCCCTGGAGCTTCCTAAACTGATACACCAGCAGTTAATGCTGCCGCTGGAGATGGATCCAGGTCTGCCTTGTAGTCCAAATGAGTTTGACACCCCCGCTCTGCATCAATTAGGATGCAGCTGTGATACTTTTTTAAAAAGTGATAAACCAACACCAATGATAAAAACCCTAGTATTTTACACAAAATCATTGATCAATGACCAAATGATAAGCGATATCATTTAACATTACCTAACAGTCTTTTATACAGGACTTCTATACTGGAGTCTCACAAAGTGTTATTTTAGCAAAGTAACTTTGAAATACCAAAGAGAACGATAAGACTACAGTAAAAGCTCTGTTATCTGGCATCCCCACGGTAACAGGAGATGCCAGATAACAAAATATGCCGGTTAATTGAGCGGCTCCAGCCGCTGCTTCTCCTGCCATGTCTGGGTCGTCCTTCCGCCCCTCCCATGGCATCGCTGTCCCTCCTGCTGCATTGTCGCCTGTCCCATGGGCCCCACACAGCCTGTTATGCCCCCTGGGCCGTGGGGGCTCAGCAGTGCAGGCTTTTTACCCCTAGCCGTGGGGGCTCAGAGAAACTGGAAGTGCCGCGGTAGGCACTTCTGGTTTCACTATATCTAACAAGCTGGCATGCTGGTTAGTAGAGCATGCTGGCTTGTAAGACGCCAGATAGCACAGCTTTTACTGTATTTCCAATTACCATTAGTGCTACAGAGACAAATTACCTCTTACCTTCTGAACTTTCAAACTGGACTGAGCAAATTTAGTACCTGGTCCTTAACAGGCAAATCCAGAAGGTCTATGCACATAAATCTCACTGCCCTGAGTGTGGAATGAGGTAGTAATTGTCACAACACCAAACACGATGTCTTACAGTTGAACTACAGCTTTGTTTAATACTGTACCAGCAGATCTTTTTCTTTAAACACATTCTTTGGGGGGTTTTTGCATTTAAAAGTTTCTGTTGACCTTAAAGACCCTGCAACAGACTAGTAATTCTATAGCCTACTTTGGTAGCTCCAGATAATAATAGATGGCCTATATAAGCAATTTTGTTTAATTGCCAAGCAAGTATAGTATTTTATATTTGTTCTTGCAGCAGCAAGAGTTAAAAGTTACAACTCAAATTTCACTATATATTCTGACAAGCATTTCTTATGTGATATCTTTTAATTGGACCAACTGTATAGCTGGGGCAGAATTAGACACGCTTTTGAATGCAAGACGTTATTCTTCAGGTCATTTCTTTCAGTTCAGCCTGAAAATTCAAAAGATAAAAAGCAAATCTATCTGTGTAGTGTTAATGGTAATTGGAAATAGTATTTAGACTTCTCACTGGTATTTCTAAAGTTAGTGTACTAAAACAACACTTTGCAAGACTGCAGAATAGCAGACTAATGTCAGTGACCTGAAGAAGAACTTGCATTCAAAAACATGTCTAACTTTATCATAACTATACAGTTGGTCCAGTAAAATATACCACCCCAAGAAATCCTTGCTTTTCACAATTTCTAGTCCATTGTAACTACGTCACTCTTATGCTAATAAGTATCTTGGCTTTCACTAACTCAAATTTCAACTGTAGTCATTTGAAGCTGAAAGTTTCCAACTCATAACCCCAAAATTAATTTCTTTTGGGGAAAAGGTGGACAAAATTCATTAGGCAATTCTTACCTTGGAAAGTTCATCAGTGTAGGGACATGACAAGTAAGGTGGAATACTTTTGGACATTTCTCACAACAAAGGAGCTCCCCTCCATTTTGACACACTGCACACCAGTCCTCATTGGGGTCATCCTCTTTTCTGCTATCCCCAATGTGAGAGGCACCTATCCATGTTGTCTTTCCATTGGATGTGTTCTCCTGAAGTATCCCTGGTCGGTCACCTGTGCTATCTGGAGCATCTGTTCTTAAAACAGTTTCATCAGAAGAGGAATTACGATTGTTATCCAACAACAATGAGGTAAGTATGCTTCTTGAAAAGTTGGCCTGTAGAAAGAGGCAAAGACAACTTAGAGGTATGTGCACACCCTGTTGTTGGGTAGATCATCAATCCAAAAATATTAAATAAAATAATGCTTCTTTTTTCACTCTGTTTATGTAACACATATATAGTCATGTCCCTTGTGATATCTAAACAGGAGTTACTATTTTTCTTCAGATTTCAGCCAATTAAATGTAGACAACAGTAAAAACAGGACCACAATGAGTTAGCTTTGAAATTTAAGAAGCCTCCAATAGAAAAAAGATACTGCGTTTTGATGCCTTATATGTTTAACTTCCCAATACTGAGTATACTACTCAAATCAGAAACACCTCCAAACACGTCCTGAATCAAAGTTAGTGTCTGCAGACCTCTCTCTCTGTCTCTCAGATCTCCAGGGGCTGACAGCAGTCTGATCATTTCAGTTTTTCAGGCAACTAAATTTAACTATAAAATTTAACTTTTAAACATTAAGAATATTATGCCCTCTTTTTAATAAGGCCTAAAATCCTGCTCTGACAAAATATAGTAATAATTTCTATCTCCCATAAGAGCAAGTTATCCTACACACCAAAAACTCAAAGGAATTTTTTTTATTTTTAAACTTACATTTCGAGGACGGGATTCTTCATCTGTTTCTTGTTTTACTATGACAATTGGGAAATCATAGTTCTCACTCGGTGCACTAGATTCCTGTTTAATCCTGATTGGCTCCAACATGACAACAGGGACTCTGTGGGTAGAATCAGCTCCAGGTGGTCTGCTGGATGAGCCAGAGCTGTAAAGGAGGAGGACGAAAAAGAAATAAGGCACAGTAAGAATGGATAACATCTGCATGGGGATGGTATCTGGAATCCATAAATTTTACAGTATTTTCCATTCTCCAGATTCTGAGCAATCCAGCAAATTTCACCAAGGAACAAGTCCTAGCCCTAGTTCCTACCCTTTTTGGTTATGTTTCAATGGGATTACAGTAATGTCTTTTTTCCCCTTTATAAATACAATCCTGAAAAGAATTAAAGAGCATGATTTCAGAACCAGTTTCTAGATCACTACTCTTGGGCAAATCCTATAATAAAAAGATATACAAAACTGAAAATACTGAACTCAAAACTTTGTTTGTTTATCTGATGTATATACATTCTGAAATCCAGCAATTTTATCTTAAGATAACAGTACAAGGCCTCTCCAGCATTTACTACATAAGTGCAATAGAGTAACAGTAGGTTTGGCAGGATATGATTTTTACCGATAAGCACTGATAAATGTTTTTCACCTCATACTTGCAGACAGATAAAAAAACAAAACAAACATTTCCATTGATAATAATCAAAATGAATAGAAAGAGAACGTAAAAAAAATGATGGCTGATACTGTGCAACAATAAGGGGAGCAGTCCTACAGAATCATGCTGACTGTAGTTTGCACTGCAACTCCCAGAAACCCCAGGGGACTGGGAACAAAGGAAGAGAAAATGACAAAGCAGATGAGGGGCTTGGTATACTTTCACTAATAAGCTCTCTGCTCCTCACACCCCCCAAAAATTTAAATTGCTAAAAGATGAAATAAATGTTTAAAAATAAACTTCAATATTATCTGTTGAGATTATTAAAACAAAATAGAAATCAAATTCTGCCAAGCCTAAGAAAGATATAGACTGTTACAAGTATTTGGATTTCTACATTAAGGAGTACAACCATACTCAGCATGAAAAATTCTGTTAGCTGTAATGCTTTAATTTATTGGAACATATTAATGGCTCTGCTCCCTTTAGGTAATCCTGATTAACCCTATTTTGTTCATGAATATTCCGTCACTCCTGGTATACAATTTTTTGCAGTCTCTTTCTCTAAATATCCAGTGCTTACTTAACCAACTGTATTATGGCAAAAAGCTCTTTAATGATAATCCTCTTGTAAGGCTAATTCCCTAAATCTAAAGTCATTTATGGTTCACTGAGGAATTTTAGGTTCACAGACTCTTAAAAATACAACTGAGATTGTCCTGAATTTTATATCATTATTTACAGCATACGATTATAAAAACAAATATTTGAGTTTGCTATTAGTTTCATGGCTACTGCTTTAATCTACTATTTAATCTTTCGTGTGCTATTAATAAAACCAACATGAAATGAGTATTCTAGGCCTTGACAATAGTATAATAAAGGCACAAGAACGAGTTTCTCAACATCAGCAGGGTATGGCAAATTTCAGCATTAATTACTGGTAGAAATTAACAACAGGTGAGGCTGTACACACTGTTGCTGAGACTGAAGCTATGCTTCCCCCTCCCCCAAATCTACTCTGCTTACCTGCCTCTACTTCCGACACTAGAAGCACTGGGTGAGCGAATTGGAGGATGGATATTAGTCATGCTTACTGCTCCTAGAATATCAGAAATGAAATTAGAAATAAGGATAGGTTTGTGCAAACAATTATCTTACATTTGATTTCTACTTCAAGAACCACAAAGGGATTTCTATAAAAGTTTTCATTATTAAGTTGTGATCACAAAATCATAAAAAAGAAAAAGGGCTGGAAGGGAACTCAGAAGGTCATCTAATTCAAGTCCTGACTCAAGGAAGGAATATCCCTATCTAAACAAGCCAAAGAAATCTTTGTCCATCCTGCACTTAGAAATCTTTAGAAGCTGCCCCACCAGGCACTCAAGGGAGAGAGAATTAGGGACATGAGAAGAGAACAAACTCAGTCGAATGGATGCTGGCTTGGAGCAGGCCCTGGGCTCTAGACCCCTGCTTCCAGCAGGGCACAAATTTCATTGCATTACTCTCCATCTTTATTATCTAATAGCTATTGAATGCAAGTGGCAGGAGCCCAGCTTCAAAAAGACTGCTGGAGAATTATCTGAGTAATACCTAACTGTGGTATAACTGTTAGAGTATCATGCCGGGAAGTCAGTCAGAAACAGGTTCAAATCTACTCTGGGTGGGGGAAACCTAAAACAGGTTCCGTTCCTTCAGGTCCCTAGGCAAGTATCTTAATCACTTGTCTATAGGAACTAAAACATGGGAAGGCCCCTTCTCTCTCTTTCTGACTAGCATCCACAAGCTACAGGTTTCTGGACAGCTACATTATGTACTGTATCAGCATATGAGATGCAAATACATATCTGGAATGGGCCTGTGTGCCAGCGCAGCCAATATATAGCATACTGCATGCACTTAGTCTACAAAGTAGCATGTTTGTGTGTCCACTTTGCAAGGAGAATTGCCCCTTACATATCTTTGTGACATTTAAATACACAACAAAATAGATTTCTGTTTCTGGTTTTCTTTCCATCTCTATCATTCAGCTTCTTTCAGAGATATCTTGTGCATGTCCATAGAATTCTATCATTGGCCCACATTTCTCCTGCACTAACTCCTTTTCCTGAACAACATATCTGCTCATGTGGCTGCAGCTGTCAGCAGGTAGCAAACAAATAATATTCCACAAAACTAGCTCTCCACTTCTCAATTCTTCATCTCATTCTACTCTAAATTCTGTTACTTTTTGCTCCATGATATTTAAGATCTGGCCATTTAGCTCTGTCTACAACGCTAAGCATGAGCCAGGTGCACATCTCCTATTTCCTCTTTTTCAGCCTTCTCCCTTACCTTGAATTTCTCAGCATTTGACATGGATTAGACCAGGGTTTCTCAACCTGTGGGTCATGACCCAAAAGCGGGTCACAAAAATATATGAAAAGGTCACTAACAAACTTTAAAAATGGATTCTCCTTTAAAAGGAGAAAAAGATGGGAAAACACGGGTTTCCCCTTCAGGCTGGCAGAGTTCCAGCCTGCAAGGGGCTGTTTGTGGCTGGAGTAGGAGGAGGGCAATCAGCCTTGGGCATGCCACGTGCATGTGCGTGTGCACACATGGACATGGCAGCCAGGCAGTGTAGAGAGCAGCTCCCGCAGCTCACTGCAGGTAAGTCTATGGGGTGGGGGGGACATAGTGTGTC